GTGATTTCACTCTTTGCTCTTAATGTTATTTATCATGGTTAGTCTGGTCTTATCCTCTGCCTCCAAAAGTAGGTGATGACTAATGCTTCCAAGGAAGGAAGGATAACAGAACCTCAGGCATCCACAGCTGATTTCAGTCAGGTTGTTTCTTGGTTTTTTTTTTTTAATATTATTCATCATTTTATCCATTCTATTTTAAGTTGCCATTCTTGAAAAAATGTTCTTACTCTATCATCCACCATTTCATAGAAGGTAGCTGGAAAATTAAAGAGAATTCAGAATAAACATACATGAAAGGATCAAGAGAAGTCTGCCCTTTACAGGGAGTTTAATTGATACTTAATTTAAATGTTTTGATTTGATTTAACCAATGACCTGGCTGTGTTCTGAAAGGATCTGCATAACTAAGAGAGGCAGGTCTGTAATGCAGATGACAAGAGCATAACAAAATGCAATGGTTGGAAGCAGAGCTATCTAAATTTAAAGCCAGACATACAGGAGAAGTTGTAATTACGGTGCTTAATTGCTTGTCCAAACAATTTACCTAATGTTGTGTTGGATTCTCCACCACTTGCATTGTTTCAGTTGGGGCTACGTGTACTTCATAACAAATATTCTTTAGCTCAACAGAAGCTTGGTAGAGCAATAGTTGGATACAGTTCAGTGCAGAAGGGCTGGTTGAGACGGTCAGTGAGAAAGGCTTTTGAAGCAGCGACGCAAAGAAGATTTAGGGGATTTTTTTTTCCTGGGATAGGGCAGTGAATTTGGGAAGTGAGTGTTGCCAGAGTGGTCAGTGAGCTTGTAGCAGTCAGATCAGGAACAGAGCTGTTGTGAGTTACTGCTGACCAGGGATGGCTATGGGACAGTGGTGGGCAGAATTTCAGAAGGCTTCAGCCAAGACAGGAGACATGGCACTGACGAGGAAGTAAAAGGTGGCTGAGCATCTGAGAGGGTTCCCAGGGCAGGAGCTCTGCTGACAAAGGTTTTTCCAACTTTACTGTGTTAAATGTTGCATGACTAGATTTATTCAGGTTTGCCAGGAAGGGGCTCACTGAATGCAAACCACACCTGAAGAATGATTTGCTTGAAGTAGAAATGTGGGGGCAGCTGTATGTTTAACCTATAGGTTAACTTTTCTGTGAAAAATAACTTTTTATGGAAGAAAACACCTCAAAAGTGGAAGGTGTGTTTGCTGGCGAGCCAGAAAAGCACTGCCAGTATCTTCTGGAGGTTCTCATTCAAGTGCAGGAACCACAGTGACGCAGAGACAGTGACATAAGAGTAAGTTTAGAGTTAAAGGGATTAGTTATAGACCCAGGTTTATCTGTGCTGTTTGATTACTTGTCTACATCACAAAATGTTTTGCTCCAAAGAAACTTCTGACTGAAAATAGGCAATATTGCAGGGAATGGAGAGGGAACACTGATGGCTTTGTCTGAACTAGCCAGGGTTCTCCACTGTGGAGAAGTCTACAGAGGGTCTGTGCCTCTCTCCAAACCCCTGTCCCTTACATTTTTCTTTGCTTTTGGCCTTTTACCAGCTGACAAAATGGGGGTAAAATAACAGTAAACCCCGAAGTTTAGCTTCAGCTGTTAAAAAAAGATTAATTCATGTTCTTTTTTTATGATCTTGCAGAGTAGTTAGGCTAAATTTAATTGAGGCTGGGGAGCTGGGGTTGGAACCGATGAGGAAAAGGGAACTTGCTGAAAACACTGTCAAGGCACAGATAGCAAAAACAAGTGACAGTAAATGCATAACAGAAAATGAGAGGGGGAGAAAGAGGAAGAGAAAAGGCTAGCAGGGAAACAATTAGAAAATACCACCATGGCCAAACAAAGGCATTAGAGTTTAGCTGAGGGGGAGCTGTGTACCAGCTTACAATCAGCAGCTGAGTTACTGCAGTGTGTTCCTCACACTCCCAAGCTGTCCATAGGAGCGTTCTGCTCCTTAAGCTCATTCACTGAAATTCTCATTGTCTTCAGCCATCTCAGTGCTGTGCAAACCTGGCTTCTGAGACAGACATCCTTGGTTTGTGCATTGTGCAACCCATCCTTGCCACCAACCTGGCAGCCTGGGAGGTGGTTAAGGAACATTCCAGAACAGCAATGGTGATGATCTAGTTAGTGCTGGGATATTTTTGTTTTGTTTTGTTTCTTTTGAGTCAGAATGGAGATAATGTCCAGGGTCTGAGGGTGCTTCATGCAACAGGATGCTCTTTCATATGAAATGTCCAGCCAGAGGCTGAAAACCTGTTAGAATTAAACTCCAGGATGCTTTTAGCAATGGGTAAGGTGCAGCTGTCTTCAGGTGTAATAACTCTGAAGAGCGCAGACTTGTTTCGTTTTGCTCTTAGGGCTGAGTGCCCTCATTGCTCTCTGTTCTTAAAACCTAGATAGTTGCTTGAATTTTATTGCTGCTTTTACAGTTTTGAAGAATGTGGGAGGAGGAAGCATCAGTGTAGGTGAATGTTACTGATGGAGTGACAGTCATTTTCAAGGTCCATCGGGGTTGGTGTTAGTAATGGGAAGTACCAGGCAGAGGGACCGTGGTTCCCATGCCCACAGCCTCCACGTGTCATGGCTGGTTTGCTCTCCAGCCCTGTGGGGAGGACCTGCCTTTCACTTCTTGCTTTCAGAATGATGCTCTGCACTCTTACCATAGGTTTGGATGACAGGCGGATGGAGGAGGAAAGTCACATCCTTGCAGTTCAGCCTTCGATACTTGTCCTTTTCCAGGCTCCTCCTGCCATGCTACTGTCTGCCTCATTTCTAGCCAGCCTGTGTCTTCTTTTCACTGGTATTGGATTCCTAGTGCAGCAGGCTCACTTTGTAATGGTAGGAACTGTGAAACTACTGTCTGCATGTCAAACAGTCAGACTGCATGGCCAGGAAGAGACAAAGCTGTTGGGACTGATGTTTGGCATTCGCCAGTTCCTCTCTTGTGCAAGGAGTGATAGAGGTGGAAGATGACTATAAATTGTCTGGTTTCTGATGTTGGGTCAGACATTGGGACTCAAAGTAGAAATTACTCCTGAAGTAGGAAACCTGTTACCTGGAGTAAATTTATCATGTTGGAATAAGCACTCGTGTATATCCCTCAGTTTAAACAGTTGAACTGTAAACTGTTAGCTGGAGGTTCTGTTCCTGCACTACCATGTGGAGACCTTGATCCTTTCCCCTGACTGTCTCAGCATTGCCAAAAACAAATTGATAGGACGTGGTTATCCATACAGGAGCCCACAGGAATACATTCTCTAGTTTATACCCAAGAGTCTTCATTTGCTGCTTTGATGAAAAGACTCAACTGAATTGGTTCCACCATGAAGGTTGTAGGATGCAGCCAGGATAAGCTGGCAAAATAATTCTGTTCCTAATTCCTAAAAGCTTAGTCTTGACATTTCTAGTGATGTGTTAGCCCAAATTAGGAACTAAAAAAAGGAAACAGTGTCCTTTCTGCTTTGTTTTCTCTAGGTAGACTTAAATGTGATATTGGGTATGTCTTCTACCTACCTAAATGTTCTGTGTAACCCTGTGGGCTGGTTGAAGAGCTCAGTGTTATTATTTCTTGGAGAAGCATGTGTGCATGGAAGTCTTAGCTGTGCAGCACTAGGAGTATGCCCAGGTAGGCTGGGCGTGGCCCCTCCAAGGGGGTCTGCACCTGCCAAATGGCCACCTTTCATCTTTCCCCTTTCTATTTCCCACCCTGCGCTCAGGTAACTGTCCACACTGATAAAGCCCTTGGTGGCATGCCCAGCAGAGCTACAACTCTCTTCCATCTCAGCCCCAGCATCCCATTTACTACTGCAGTTAGAGACCACCTTTGTGTGAATCCAGCAGCATCTCTGCTTTGTCCTGTTGTTCCCAGGTTGAAGTGCCTTTCTACCATGGCAGTCTGCTCATGTCTCCCATGGTTTGGTGCTATCTCTTGTACTGATCTGTTTCCATGAGCAGAACAAATCTTTCCTGTTCGGGTCACAGCTGCCTGCCGTCTTTGGTGGCCTTGAGGAGTTCTGAGACCAAAGCAGTGTGTGGGCAAGAGTGACAAGGTGCTCAAGAGCTCCAAAATTAGCATTAGCTTTTGTCTGTATGGGGTCTTCATTTCCCCAACACTTCTCAAATCCAGCTCCATAGAATCATCTGATAGTACTGTAGGACTATGGTTGTTACCCAGCGAATATGCTTTGTGTGTGGTGAAAAGCACTTGTTTATTGCAACGAACAGGATTTTTATGGGCAACATTTTCAGCAGCATCTGAGTCCAGTTCTCAAAAGTGATGTAGGCTTTTTAAGAGGCCAAAGCCAAGATTTTCATAAATAAGTAATGATTTGGGCTGCCTCTGTTTTCTGTTACACAAGTCAAGATGTCTAAAAGGAGCCTGGTTGTCAGCAATTGTGGGATTCTGGCATTTTTTTCAAAATTGATATGCTTTTAAAATGTCTTAAGCTGGGCATTCAGAAATGGAGGGATCAAGAATGATTAGCTGCTTTTGAAATCCTTTTTCTTAAAAGTCTGAATGAAAATCACTGGGGCATGGGGTCCTAAATGACGTGAAAAAGTGCTAAAAGTGTATTTTGGAAGTATCTGCCTGTCTGTGACTAGGCTTGTCCCCAGACCACCTGCACTTTTGTACTTTAAAGTACTCACAAAAGCCTAATAGGGAAAGGCAAATACATCACTACTGTGCTGAATGGGTGGTGGGATTGATGGGCTGCTTCAGGGTATCAACCTCTCTCTGCTCTGGTTTGAAGAGGAAAATAGCATTGGTTTTTGTAGGCACCAACAATAATCAGTAACTGACGTGCTGGGAAAAGAAAGACAAGTTGGTATCTAAAGTCCTATACATTAGGAGCAATATTGTTTAAAGTGAAACATACACTAGTTAAACATGTTAAAGGGCTTTGTAGGTTTGATTTCATAAAACAGCAGAATAGTAGGAATCTAACTGTTGTTTCCCCAGCCTAAATTCCTAATACCCGTGTGACACTTTGCCTCTCCTCTCAGATTTGAACCATGTCCCACCCGTCCTGGCTGCCACCCAAGAGTACCAATGAGCCTGTTGGTCACGTTACTGCAAGGATGGAGACCACACACACCTTTGGGACTCCCAGCATCTCGGTGTCCACCCAGCAGACTCCAAAGAAGTTTGCACCTGTCGTTGCCCCCAAACCAAAGTACAACCCATACAAGCAACCGGGAGGTGATGGTGAGTATTTATTTTTTTAGGAAGGAACCACAACTAATTCAGAGAAATTGGCTGGTAACACAGGCTATTCCTGACTTGCTCTTTGTTGGTGAGTTTGTGGAAGCCTCCCTGTTTCAGATCATTCATTTCAAGAAGAGTGTGCTGGTATCTCCTACACTTGCTCTGGCTACCTATCCTCCTAAGAGGTGTAGGGCTGGGGGAGGACATGGGGACAGGTCTTTCTTGGTTTTAATTGGAAGCAGATGCCCCATGTCCAAGACTGATACTTTTGAAAGGATTTTGCTTATTGGCCTCTGCTGACATGTGATGATTCAAGGAACTTGGGCTCTAACAACCCTTTTCAGTACTGATTCGTGGGAATATGGGTATAATTGGGCGTTGTAGGGCATAAGTTTGGCAGAACGAATCTAGAAGTGCTTCCTCTCCAGGCTGCTGGCTGGATTGTTTTATTCTTTTCCCTCTACTATAGAACACTCTTGAATATGAAATAATTCAAAGGATGTTTACATGACCATTGCCATAGCCTCTGGAGCTGTTAAGTTAGCAAAACAAATGCCTGCCAGTCACTGTGTGTTGGCCTTCTACCTTCTGCTTTTAAAGTCTTCCCCTCTTCATGTGACTGAGCAGCAAGCGTGGGATTTGGGTGCCTGGCTTGTGGACACATGATGGGAGGGAATTCTCAGCATCAGGAGTGCATGGTTGGAAGCGCCTCTGGTGTTTGCAACTGGAAACCTGCCCGTTGGAGCACCCAGGATGCCCCTGACTGACACTGGAGAGTGTGTGATGTAACCTTACTGCAGCAGAAACAAGGAGAAAGCCAAGGATTTTAGGAAAGAGTGGTAGCTGTCTTGGCAAGGCGTGACTTTTCTGTTTGTGGTGATTTGCTATGGTTAGAAATGGGTGGAACACTCTTTCTCCTCCTCCTCTTTAACTCTTCCTCAAAAGAAAAGCTCAGTTGTGTTAAAGAAAATTGCCCAAATAGCTTTTGTGTATGGTTTTGGATGCTCTACTTTGTTCCGTCGTCATGTTTCCCTCTTTGTATTGAGTACAATAAGTTAAATATCATCTGTATATTTTTTCCTCTTTCTGCTCTGTCTTTTGTAAGTTGTATGCATTTTCAGGAAGGCTACAGAATAATGGAAAGGAGAAATAAAAACAAAGCAGCACATTAAATCTTGCACTTAAGTGATTTTCTAAAGTGAAGGATAGCTTGTAGGAAAGTTGGAAAAGTCTGAGTGTTTTCGTTTTTTTCCTCTGCCATTCTAACTTCAGAGAATTCAGAACAAAAAAAGAAAATGTGTTGGAGGGGGAAAAGCGAAGTCATATGCACCTGTTCTACTGCCTTCAGTAACAAAACTTAGCGAGAAATAGGAAGAGAAAGACATTTGGAATTTAAAAAGTAAAAAGTAATCCACTCTGAAATGCAGTGAAAATGTCACCTTCAAGTCAAGTGGAAATTCTTATTTTTCTGATTCTCTTGAAATTAAAAATAATAATGGAAAATAATCCTCTTTTTTCCTAGGAAAACTGTTCTTTATCAATCACTTATTTTTGGGTGAAAAAAGTCAGCATGTCTTAATTGCGAGTGCTTTAGTGATTGTGGGTCTGATTATATGTGACTCAGGAGCGTTATCACCCTCTAAAAATTCTGTGTTTCTTGGCATTTGGAGAAGGAGGCTTTCCCAAAGAGCACAGCAGGCACTGCAGGCTGAGAAGGGGAGACAACACACACAAACATTTCTAATGCAACCCTAAGTGTCTGGTCCCACAAACAATCAGGCATCACCAGGTCTGTTGGAAACCGGGAGACAATCAGGAGCTCACAGGGGGACTTTGTCAGTGCCAGTCCCTTACCTTGTCTGATGCTGGGCGTTTGGGGATCCTGTCCTTATCTGACAGGCCTGGAAGAGCTCAGGGTTGGCCAAGACCTGGTCAGAGACAGGCTTAGTGATGTGACAGCGTGCCTGCAGCTTAAGCTAATCCACTTTCAAAAGGTGACATGCTGCTGGTCGCTGTCAGCAGCCCGTGCAAAGCCATTACCCAGCCATATATAACCCTGAGAACATGAGGCTTCTGGGATCTGGCAGGCGAGAGCAGAGCAGTGAGAAACATTTAGCCCAACGTGCTTCATTCACTTTCTATGGCTCCCTTCTCTCCTCCAGGCTCCCTAATTGTTTTTTCAATGACCTCCCTGCTTTTGCAGCAATAGTTCAGCCTGGGAGACAGCTCCGTGCCCCGCTGGTTCCCTGAGTACAGGGGCACTGTGAGTCATTTTGCCTAAATTTGTTCTCTGTTGGTCACAGGTCTTTCCCATCTGGTTGGCTGTGAGTCTGTAGATGGGGGAGCTGCAGCATCCCCTTGTATCCTGGTGTGTTTTCATCCCTTCTATCCTGCCAGAGCTGCTTTGGTGGAGGAATATAGGGAATTACGTGCTTCCTTTTGCCAGTCATGAGTGGGAGCAGTGGTTCCGCTCAGGGGAAGGGCTGTTCTGGGGCTGTGATGGGGCAGAGGGTCCCTGTGCACATCACAGCATTGCCTGCCCCACCAGCGTTGCTGGAGCTGGTTCCCTGCAGCCTTTGGCAGCTGGAATATTATTTTTCTGGGAGACTGGCGAATTCTGTTCCTGGTAATTTCTTCAGCTTGTTGCTTTTAACATTCAGTAATATGCATCCTCTGGCCTTGTGTTTCTCTATCATTATTTTGTAGGTGTGTTGCTCCCATGTGGCAGGTCTGTCTGATCACATTTGTGATTTTATTCCTTGATCATATTGAAAGCACAGGGAAAAGCCACTGGAGTGACAGTGGAGCAGGTACTGTGTGCACATGTAGGAGGAGTGATTGCACCCCCTTCTCCCTCCCACCAAAGCATTTGCTTGGTCTCACCTTGACTTTGATTTTATTTTTCTTTTCCTGACACCTGCACAAAAATCAGCTAGAAGGTGCTGATTAAAAGCTACTTAATGAAACTTTAAAAGAAGTTGGAAATGGCTACATGACTGAAAAAAGTGAAATCACAACAGCCAACAGTTTATAAACCAGCAGCGTTTTAATGTAATTTGAAGCACTCAATGTGTGTGTGGTTTAGACCAGTGAAGTGAGCGATTTTCCTGGTTCTGCCAGCCCCCTTCCTTGCTATTTACCATGCTGAGTTGCTGCTACTTGTTTCAGACTATATTTATCAACTCATCAAAGCAGAGACCATTTCTTTCTTTTGTAGAGATCTGTTTGGGGGCCCCTGGGTATGACTGCAGTAGTGGTAGAAGTAATAATGATAATCATCATTATCATCAGTAAGACCACAGCTCTGCCTAACATTCTGCACAGGTCTCTGCCATGCAGAGAGCTGAAAAGGTGGGCACAGCTGTGTTTTTATAGGTGCTACAAACACCAGACCAGACTTCCACGTGCTGTGGTCTGGGCTGGATTTCTGGAGGATTTAGTGCTTCCATTCCCCACTGTGATGGTTTGCAGGGGATTAACCTTGCCTGATCCTGGGAGGCATGAGCACCACAGCTCCTGGGAAGTGCAGGTGCTCGTCATCTTACACAATTCTGTATTTACCCCACAGAGAGAGGAGAGCTGTTTGAGCTTGGGGAAGATGTTTACCTACAAGATGAACAAGTGTGCATTGGAAGTGTAGCTGCTGATGAGTTAGGCTGGAAATCAAAATTAGATGTCCAGACACTGAAGCAGGAGCTCTAAAAGAGTTTACCCAGAGTCAAGGTGGTCCTTGGATGGAGCTAGATGTGTTTGAAGGTTGAGAGCATCTTCTCTTCGTGCTGGGAGGAGATGAGTCCTGAGATGGATGAGGCAGCATCCAACCATGGGTCCTGAGAGTCCACTTCTTTCTCCATGCTCATGTGTTTGGTGTTATGGCCAAGGATGATGGTGTTTGGTGTTATATGTCTCCTCCCTCTGTTCCTCAGCAGACCCTGCCCAGCACTGTGCATAGCAGGGTTTGTCCTCTGTACTCATTGACCAAAAACAAATCTCAATCAAAGTAATGCCTTTTTCCAAGGAGTTTGTATTAATTTTGTTTCTTTTAAAAGCATTGGATGCCCCATCATTCAAAGTCCTCAAGGTCAGGTTTGGCAGGGCTTTGAGCAACCCGATCGAGTGAAAGATATTCCAGCTGATGGCAGATGAGGTTGGATTGGATAATCTTTCAAGGTCCTTTCCAAGCCAAACCTTTCTGTGATTCTGTGGTTGCCCTTCCTCCTTTCCCTGCCACTTACTTCTCTCCTACTCCAGCTTTTATACTTAAATTGGTATTTCAGTATCTTCAACAGAGCTGGACCCTTACGGAAGCGTTACCACACAGCTGTTCCTATCTATGCTGGGCTCAGGAAGATGGAAAGGATGTATAGCTTGCAGACGAAGCAAATTCCCTTTTCTCCTCCTTTTCCTAGATCCACAAAATGGGACCTAACCCTCAGGGCAGACTAAGGAGGCCTCTGGTGTGGAGTGAGGTTGGTGATGGCTGATCCGCTGGCTTTGTGCCCACTGCCATGGGGCTGGTGGTGCTGGCGTGGGATTGCGCACTCCGTGGCATGGGGAGGAGAGCTGGCAGCTGCTCCCACACAAGAGCCGCTGAGGCAGGGCAGTCAGGATGTGCTGGGACAGTACCGGGGGTTGTGAGGCCAGAATCAGGGGCTTCAAAAATGTGTAAAAATCTGCTGTCAGTCTGAGATCCTCAGAAAAGCCTGAGCTGGGGCCATTGGAGGGCTTGAGCGCAGTGAGTGGCAAGCTTTGTGGTGTGAGGTGCCTTTTAGTTTGGATCCTTCTGGCTTGAAGCTTGTTTGGGTAACCATAAAAGCTCCTTTCCCCTTCCCCTCCAAACAAAGCTCTGCAAGTCCCAGAAAGATGACACTATGCTGAAACAGGTGGAGCACATTGGTGAGCTGGAGAGGCTCAGCTGGATTGCAGGGTTGGGCTTCCCAGTCCAGCATTTGTGAGCACTAGCACAGCTCCCTGTGGGTTGAATGCACTCTTCTACCACT